AAGCAGGATAGAGTATCCAATGGAAAAAAGACAGTCTCTCCAATAAATGGTGTTGGGAAAATTGGAGAGCCACATGCAGAAGAATGAAACTGGACCACAAGATAAACTCAAAATGGATGAAAGACCTAAATGTGAGACAGGAATCCATCAGAATCCTAGAGAACAGAGGCAGTAACCTCCGTGACCTCAGCTGCAGCAACTTCTTGCTAGACACGTCTTTAAAGGCAAGGGAAAGAAAAGCAAAAATGAACTATTGGGACTTCATCAAGATAAAACACATTTGCACAGCAAAGGAAACAGTCAACAAAACTAGGAGGCAACCCACAGAATGGGAGAGGATATTTGCAAATGACATTACAGATAAAGGGCTGGTATCCAAGATCTAGAAAGAACTTTTTTAACTCAACACCCCCAAAAATGAATAATCCAATTAAAAATGGGCAGAAGAGGGGCGACTGGGTGGCTCAGATGGTTAAGCGTCTGCCTTCAGCTTAGGTCATGATCTCCAGGTCCTAGGATCAAGCCCTACATTAGGCTCCCGGCTCAGTGGGGAGAATGCTTCTTCCTCTCACTCTCCTTCTCTCATTCATACATACATACATACATACATACATAAATAAATAAATCCTGCCCTATGTTCCAATAATCACACTACTGGGTATGTACCCTAAAGAATACAAAAACACTAGTTCAAAGGGAAACATGCACCCCTATGTTTACAGCAGCATTATCAACAATAGCCAAATAATGGAAGCAGCCCAAGTGTCCATAGACTGATGAATGGATATAGAAGATGAGATATATACACACACTGGAATATTACTCAGCCATAAAAAAGAATGAAATCTTGCCATTTGCAACAATATGGATGGAGCTAGAGAGTATTATGCTAAGCGAATATGTCAAAGAAAGACAAATACCATATGATCTCACTCAGGTGGAATTTAAGAAACAAAACAGATGAACAAAGGGGGAAAAAAAGAGAGAGAAAGAGAGAGACAAACCAAGAAACAGACTTTTAACCACAGAGAACATACTACTGGTCACCAGAGGGGAGGTAGGTTGGGGGATGGGGGAAATAGGTGATGGGGATGAAGGAGTACCTGTATCATGATGAAAAAAAATAATAATAAAATGACTTTTAAAAAGAAAAAAATAAACAGGAGCAATAAATTCACAAAAGGATTAATACCAGTGCCCAACAAACATATAAAAAACAATTAGTAATCAAGAAAAGCAACATAAGACAAAAGAATATCATTTTTCATCTACCAGCTTGGCATTAACTAAATTATAAAATAAGAATATCATGTGCAGCTTTTTTCCGCTGGTAAGAGAATAAATGGGCATAAGCTTTGGCTATTTGGTAATGTATATCAAAGTATTTTAAAAAGTACCTATTCTTTGATTCATAAATTTTCGCCCTATAAACTTAAAACAAGCAAATCATTGCACATTTCTCAAAATGCATTTCTTCAAGGGTGTCCAAAATAGCACTGATTAGAATATAAAATGCAATGACAGTCCTTACATTCAGCGGAACCCAGTGTAGACATTGTGACAGTTTACTCTGCATATCAGTAAGAGCCTTTCCAGTGTAAATGAAAGAAAGCTCAGCCTGATGGGCCTGAAAGAAAGGGGTGTCTCTGGAGGGGCAGGCCTTTAACTGGAAGGTGTGTGCAGGGCTCCATGCAGCAGCCTGAGCCAGCCAGGCCTGGTCTCTCCATCTTTCAGCGGTGACTGTCTGGATCTTGGCTCTGGTTTCTCCTTTCTGTTGCCATTTGCTGGCCAGCAGCTCCCACCACCACTCTCTCATGTTCTGGTGCACTGGGAAGAGTGACCACCTCTTCCTATCAAACCCTGAACATTCTCTATGAGTTTGGGCCAGTGTGGGCCACTTCTCATCCTTGAATTTACCATGTGATCAGAAGGATAAAACTGTGCGGACAAGTCAGCCCCATGTGTCATGGAACTGTGACCCCTGGGGCCTGGCCAGGAGAGGGAAAAGAGTGGCCACCCAAGGAAATCCAAGTATTATTGCCAGAAAAGGAATAGATACTGAGAAAAAAAAAATCCATGTTTGTCTAAGTATATACTAGCATTTAGATGTTTGAGGACAGAAACTTTAATAAAATTCATCCGCAATAATACCATAATAAATATCCACAAATACAAAACTTATATTCTTCAAAAGACACCAATCAGTGAGTGAAAATGCAAGCCACAAAGTAGGAAAGATGAGCAACACATAAAGCTGACAAAGACATCCAGAACGTACAAAGAATTCATACAAATCTTAAGACAGACAAGCCAACAGAAAAATATGCAAAAGGCACTTCATGAAAGATCTCCAAATGGCCAATTAACTGGAGAAGATGCTTATCCTCATTATTTACCAGAGAATGACAAACTGAAATGAAAAGTGAAAACCATACACCCATCAGAATGGTTAAAATCAAAAATACTAAGAAAAGAACACTGAGTATGGATGAGCTTCCAAAACCTATGGGAGGAGTAATATAAGTTGGAACAACCACTCAGAAAAACAGACCTAGAGGCAATTCTCTGCTGAGCACACACGGAACCATGAACACATGAACCAAAAAACATGTAACACAGAACATTTATCAGAATGCTCAAAGCAGCACTATTCATGATTCTAAAATTGGAAACAGCCCAACTGTCCATGTACAGCAGCCTGGGGAAAGAAGGGTATATTCATAAGAGGATACATACAATAGTGTGTGCTCAGCATTGGTCTACCAGCAGGCACAGCTGGACTCAAACACCTTTGGGAAGGAGGCAGGGAGTGATGACTAGAGGTCCACAGCGCTCTGGGATGCTGACACCACGTGCTCTCAGACCTGTGGGGTGATCACCTGCATTTACTCAAGACCAATTCCCAACCCGGGTGGAGGTTTCACAGGCTTGCAGCCGGGCATTTTCATGCCATATACACTGCACGTGGGGTCCCACCTTCACTGTCTGGGCTCCATTACCCCATAGGGTGCTGGCTGCTGGGTTACAGGAATTGTTCTCTCTGAGATGCACCTGTTCCCAGGCCAGTCCTTGTTATTTGTCCCTAAGCAGCCTGAGGGGAATTTAGTTCCCTAAAGAGCTCCTTCTGGACCCACAATCAAGAAATGACTGAACTACAAGGTATGAATGCAATGTCCTGCTTAGATGCTGCCAACAGCTGCCCATCTTTCTGAAGACAAAGACCAAACTCGTGGCCCAGCCCAGCTGTTGGAGCTCATCCCACACCACATCCCCATCCCATGTGCCCAGCCCCATTCATTGTCCTCCTGTGACCCAGCTCATTCCTCGAATTTGCTCGTCCCTCAACAACACAGGTGTGAATTGTGCAGGTCCACTTACACACAGATTTTTTCAGCCAATACAGTACAGTGCTGTAAATGTATTTTCTTTATCATTTCTCTAACTGATCTTATTGTAAGAATACAGTACACAGTACATATAACATACAAAATATGTGTCAGTCAACTGTTTATGTAATGGGTAAGGTTTCTCCTCAACAGTAAGCTATCAGTAGTTAAGGTTTCAGGGAGTCAAACGTTACACACAGATTTTTCACTGTATGGGGGAAGGGGGCACACCAAACCCTCATGTTGTTCAAAGGTCAAGTGTATACAGACACACACACACACACATAAAAGTATATAACTGATTAACGTCTAGCTCTGGGAAAGGAAAAAATGTGTCTATTTTCTCACTATTGTATCCTGGGGAGGATACATGATAAGTATTCAATACATATCTGAATTGTTAAAGACAACAGGACCAAAATGCAGTCACTGTGCTAAACCCCACGTCAGCAGACCAAAACTTAATACCTACTCGAACTGCAGTCTCAATCCCCAGGAATGTAACATTTTACACTCAATTTGTAATTACCTGGTTAGCACCAGTGTGACAGTCTGGCCCACACACCCCTTCCATTCCCTGAGGAAGGCGACCTCGCCTAAAACAACACATTGTCTAACGATGTCATTCTCACACCCTTTCCAGCTTTAAAAGCCTTTCCTTCCCTACAGCTCAGCAGAGCTCCTTTCTCCTGCTGGACAAATAGCCAATTTGATCTTTAAATTTATTCAGTTGAGTTTTTGTGACTTAACAGATTTAGCAGCAGTGATGGGATATGAAGCGCTCTCTGGCAGCTTCAGGGACGAAGAGAAACACAGGCATGGTACCCTGCAAGCACCTTGAGTTCTCTTTGCCCCTGTTTCCGGGGGCCCTGGGTGAGTTCCTCTCGGTTCTGAGCTCAGCTCTCTTTGTGCTGAGCTCCTGCTCTCATTGGATTTCCACAGTTGCCCATTTGGTTGGAATCCCTCCCCGCATCCTCTCCCCACTCTGCCCAGATTCCACAGTGGGAACTGCTGGTGGTTTCTGGGTCCAACTTAAAAACTGGATTGGGTCCTAGATCAAACTGAGCCCAGTTTAAGCTGGGCTGGGTCCAGCACAAGGCCTCAGGTGAATCAAATGCGGTAGTAAGTAATGGCTTGTAGCTAATGGGAATCTTGGAAGCCAAAAAAGCTGGCAACACTGTGGGCACAGGTCAAGCACTGAAAGGCTGTTGGAGTGCTTGCCACCTCAAAAAGATGCTCACGAGAGGATAAGCTCATCACAGAAAATGGTAAGTGGGACCATAATTAAAGTATCCTTGATGGTTTACTTTGTAGCAAAAGAAAACATAAAATTCTCCACATGACCCAGACCAGGAGAAAGTCTTAATTCCAGCTACCCGGAGGCTAGAACTAGGATAAAATGAGCAAGGCTGGTAACAAAGGTGTGGGCAGTGGGAACGGCACCAAATCGGACAGTCATTTCTATTTGTTGAAGTCCTTTCCTAAATTATTAAATACTTTCAAAGGTAACACCACTCTTTACATTTAGCTGCTTTAATTAAAAAAAAAAAAAGACTATGCCCCCTTCTGTTAGCCAGACTGAGGAAGGCCTGACTACTGGCGTCACGTCCTCACCTCGGTACCCAACGTGTTAGGTGAGCACGAGACACCGACGACGGCAGGACGCTGTGGTTGTAAAAGCCATCGCCTTTTTCGGTCACCTAACACCGGCCCCGCTGTCTCCCGCCACCACGGCCTCTCCTTGCGCTCCAGGCCAGCACGCCTTCCCGGGGACACAACGCGCGGTCGGCCCAGGTCGGCGGGGCAGGCCCAGGCGCGAGCAGACGCCCGGGCTGGTGCCATCTCCATCACCAGCCCAAAGACCCGCGCGTCTCGCCCCGGCGCCAGCCTTCCCCAGCCTCGCCAAACTCCTCCGCTCGAAGCCCGTCGCGTCTCTCTGACGCGCAGAGCGGGGGTCCGACTCAGCCCGCCGGTGCTGCAGCCACACCTGCTTGCCGCGGCCTCCCTCGGCTCCCCGGCCGCCCACGAGTCCCGCGGGACCCGGCGGAGTCCAGGCGCCCACACGCGGGCGCCGGGGCACCGCGGGCGCCGGGGCACCGCGGGCTCTCGGGGCCGGACTCCCCGGACCTCCGCCGCGGCACAAGAGCGGGCCTCAGTGGGCCTAAAACGCACAGTCTTTCTTCCAGGAGGGCCCCTGCACACCAGGCCCCCCATTCACAAACACCCTGAATAGAAACACAAGTCCGTTCGGAAGCCTCTCCTAGGAGCCCTTCAAAAACCGCCGTGTTCTTACGAGGGCAGAAGGGGTAACCGGTGCGCTGACCAGAGTCGGGTCTCGGGCCGCCGGCCTCCCCCTGGGGCCCGCGGGGACCGGGCGCACAGCCCCCGAGGCGCACGTTCCGTCCCGGGGAGCTCCGAGAGCGCCGGGCCCGCGCCCCGCCCCGCCCCCTGTCGCCCTGGTTACGAGCCACCGCCCCTTAGCACCCACGGCCCTTTCGTCGTTTCCGCGAGAGGCCGAGGGCCTTCCGCTTCCGGGCTTCGCCCCACCTCCGGGTCGCGCCTCACTTCCGGGCGCCGCCTCATTTCCGGCTGCTCTGGCGCGGCGGGCCGTCCCCGGCCCGGATGGTCCAGACGCGGCGCCCGGCGGGGAGCGGCGGTGAGTACGGTGCCAGGGCTCCCCGATCCCTCGCTCCGGCAGGGCCGTCGCCCCCAGGGCCGCCTCTCCGCTCGGCCTCGCGCTCGGGCTGCCCGGGTCTCTCCGCCGCTGTCCCTTTCTTCCCGCCTCCCCCCGCGCCCTCCCCGCCCCATCCCTGCTCCGCTCCGCCTCTCCCCTCCCCCTTCTCGCCCCGCGCCGCCCGCCGTCCTCCCCCTCCTCCCTGCACCGCTCCCCCCTTCCTCTCGCCCCTCCCCCTTCTCCCCCTGCACCGCCCCCGTCCTCCCCCTCCTCCCTGCACCGCTCCCCCTTCTTCTCTCCCCTCCCCCCTTCCCTTCTCCCCTCCCCTTCTCACCCTGCACCGCCCGCCGTCCTCCTCCCTGCACCGCTCCCCCTTCCCTTCTCCCCTCCCCCTTCCCTTCTCCCCTCCCCCTTCTCACCCTGCACCGCCCCCTGTCCTCCTCCTCCTCCCCCTCCCTGCACCGCTCCCCCTTCCTCTCTCCCCTCCCCCTTCTCACCCTGCACCGCCCGCCGTCCTCCCCCTCCTCCCTGCACCGCTCCCCCTTCCTCTCTCCCCTCCCCCTTCTCACCCTGCACCGCCCCGTCCTCCCCCTCCTCCCTGCACCGCTCCCCCTTCTTCTCTCCCTTCCCCCCTTCCCTTCTCCCCTCCCCTTCTCACCCTGCACCGCCCGCCGTCCTCCTCCCTGCACCGCTCCCCCTTCCCTTCTCCCCTCCCCCTTCCCTTCTCCCCTCCCCCTTCTCACCCTGCACCGCCCCCTGTCCTCCTCCTCCTCCTCCCCCTCCCTGCACCGCTCCCCCTTCCTCTCTCCTCTCCCCCTTCTCACCCTGCACCGCCCGCCGTCCTCCCCCTCCTCCCTGCACCGCTCCCCCTTCCTCTCTCCCCTCCCCCTTCTCACCCTGCACCGCCCCGTCCTCCCCCTCCTCCCTGCACCGCTCCCCCTTCCTCTCGCCCCTCCCTTTTCTCACCCTGCACCGCCCCCCGTCCTCCTCCTCCCCCTCCCTGCACCGCTCCCCCCTCCCCTTCTCTCCTCCCCCTTCCCACCCGGCACCGCTCTCCCTCTCCTCCTCCTCCTCCTCCTCCTCCTCCTCCTCCTCCTCCTCCTCCGGGGGCCCGCGGGGACCCGCCCCCGAGCGGCGGCCTGGCGCTGCTGGCGCGCTGAGCATGCCCTCTGGCCCTCCTGCAGGACGTCCGCAGGGCAGCAGGGGAGCGGCGGGCGGCGGGCATGGCCGCCGCCTGGAGGCGCGCGCTGCTGGTCCTGCTGGCCTCGCACGTGGTGTCCGCGGCGAGCCCCTCGGACGAGGACGAAGTGCCCGAGGAGTGGCTCCTCCTGCACGTTGTGCAGGGCCAGATAGGAGCCGGGAATTACAGCTACTTGAGGTTGAATCACGAGGGCAAGATTGTTCTTAGGATGCAGAGCTTGAAGGGAGACGCGGACCTGTACGTGTCGGACAGCACCCTGCACCCGAGCTTCGACGACTACGAGCTCCAGTCCGTCACGTGCGGCCAGGACGTGGTGTCCATCCCCGCGCACTTCCAGCGCCCCGTGGGCATCGGCATCTACGGGCACCCGTCCCACCATGAGAGCGAGTTCGAGATGAAAGTGTACTTCGACCGCAGGATCGAGCAGTCCCCGTTTGCCGAGGTCGCGGTCTTCGATGGCAGGGACCCGGCGCACAGGCACGCCCACGCCCCCGAGGACGCGCCCCAGGAGGAGGAGTCCGTGCTCTGGACCATACTCATTAGTATTCTGAAGCTGGTCCTCGAAATCCTGTTCTGATTCACTGAACATGCTCTGGAACCTGGGAAGTTGATTGCAGTTCTCTGAATCCAGCTACCCTGGTCTGCTGGAAATTCTGGTTACTTCTAACTGGGGGGTGGAAAAATAAAGCCATACAGTTTTGTTACCTCATATACCCGAAAAGTAGGGAAAGCAGCAAGAACCATGTTTTTCTCCTCCAAATGTCAAAATTCCTGTAAAAGGAATACGCACAATAAAATGTTTAAACTCCAGTTTGATTAGCTTGTCAGGTGACTAAAAATATTGCAGTAACCCAGGTATATATAAAATAAATCGAAACAGAGCATCAGATTAAAAGGTTGGTAGCTAGAACTGTATTCTGGTTAGATTACCAATGCAGTTACAACGTGTAGACTTTGAAGAGTTACTAAAAGCAAGTCTGAAATGTAATGATTTCTGGGGATTTGCGTGGGTATGGGGCAAAAGCCCCGTGCCTGTTCCCCAGGTCAAGCGGGCACCCGTCTCCAGACAGATTTCCTGGCAGACCCAGGTTCCGAATCTCATCAGGTCATTTGTTATTTATCACCTTGGGCTACCTATTTAAAATTCTTCTATCATTAAAATAACTGTTATGCTACCCACAATAGGCCAGAAACAATATAGACTAGGAAAATTTCATGCAGATACTAGTCACTTTCAGGTCAATGGAGAAATAGTTGAGTATTTCAATTAAACTGCCTAATATTTCCAACTGAATTTCTGGATAGAGCCAAAGTACTAAGAGATTAAAAGAAACTTTTGGAAAATGAACTGTTATTTCTCTACTTGTAATTGGTTTCAAGGGTAAAAGTGGCTTATAACAAATAAATCAACTTGCAGATTTTAAGCACATAGTTAATTTCAGAATCTTTTATTGGCATAAAATTGAGAATGTAAATAAGTTGGCACCAAATATTTCATTTAAATCCATATTTTATCCCTCTTTGCTGTTTTTCCCCCTTCTGCCCACTTTCCTGGGTGTTGGGGGGGCTCGCTGACAACAGTCACAAATCCAGCGACCTAGGAGAAAAATTGTTAGTTAATAATAGTACGAAATTTAATTCTTTAGGACTGAATTTTAAACCCATTTGGCTCTCCTTCCTTAGCTATCGCTAATGATACTTTTCTGTGGATTTGTGATGTGTAGGACACTAATGAGTTTCTTAAGGAGAAAAATGTAAACTTCCCTTCATCAGTGTAATCAATACCATATGAAATTCAGTACCAATGGGGGGTGGGGTGGGAGGAGCGATTCTATACAATGATACGGATTTTAAAAAATTATTACAGTCCTTTCTGAAACCTAAACACTATCCTACTTGCAGAGTTCAATACTGCAAACCTCATATAAAACCTGTTAGAGGGCTTGGCTTATTTTCCAGCCCTTTTCTCTGCTGCTCAGTGGCAGCTCCCAAGGCCTGGTGTACCAGACACAGCATTTAAAACTGATCAGTGATAAACTGTGCCATGTACTCCATCTGAATTAACTACAGAACTTCAAGTTGCCTGCTTCTTAATGATTCCCAGGAAACTTAGTTCTTGGCATATATTTTATAAAAGTATTATACAGTGTTAACTATGCAAATAAGTTCAGATTTACACAATTATGTGTAATATTTTAGTCCAAGTACTGTGATTTATTCTTCAACTCTGTGTTCATTCCAAAGTTACCTGGAATTGTCATGCTGCCTCATTTTATAGAAATCTGGTTTAATATTTATAAAGGCATAGCAGTCATTTTTGTTAAGTTTCTGAATAGATGATATAAAAATAAAATCAAGGCTTTGAAACAAATTGATGCTCTTGCTTTAGTTTTTCAGTAGGAAGACATGAGTTCACTCTACATTGAACTCTACTTCCAATACTTGGATGGGGCACTCTGACATCCCATTTGTCCTTTAGTTGGATTACCTAGGGATGAAAAGCAGGCGGATGTTATCTGGATAATCACAGCTTTGGTCACTTCTTATGAACAGAAGGATCCTTAAGGTGTTTATGCAGAGCCTTTAAAAAAAAGGCTAGGAGAGTCCCTCCACTCAAAGATCATGTTCCTCCTTTTTTTCAGTCTTTACCTGATGGAATAGCACCAAGGCCCACACAAAAAGTATGATAACCTCTGTCACACACATCACAGAACATCATTTCTTCTTCGTGGTGGGGTTGTCCACATATAATGCAAGTTTTACATTCCATACACTGCCATGGGTAGGTCTTAATCATAGAAACAAGCTCCATGGTCATATCCAGGCAAGAAGGATGGCCTAAACCAAAACCAGCATTAGTATTTCACAACAGAAGTTTGAACTTAATATGGCATAATAAAATGCTAGTTTGCTTGGAGTTCTCGAGAATGGCTACAGTGTTTAATCACCAAAGAAATGAAAATACAAGAAGTAGAGGAAAATACATGGGCTGCTTTTCTATGCCTCACACGTTACCCTATATATGAGGTGATTCTTTGATTCAGGTCTGACAACGAAAACGCCTCGTTTTTGAGGCAAATAGGGCGGTTAAAATGTTAAGAAGACACGTTAGTACTTACCACTGTTCTCACACTGGGAGCAGTGTATAAGTGATTCAGCCTTCCCTTTCTTGTTGGACTCCTTACCCTTCAGACAAATTCCACATAGAGCATTTGGAATGACCTTTGGCTGGAAGGGTAGAAGAGGGCTATAAATTCATGCCAGAAGAACTTACTATGGGTTCATAAGGAATTGTTACTGCCTTATCTTTACTTTTGGTAACTTGCTCATGAGGACCTTTTTGAAAGACCTCACTTGAGAAAGCCAGCTTTCAACATATGATGGCCTACTGACTAAAGCCTTAGATTTTGTTTAAAAATTCTGTCAACAGCGTGATCTCATGTCAGGATTAAGTGTAGCATTCTACACTCCCTACGTGCACAGTAAGGTCTGTATAACGAACTGGAAGGGAAGACTACAATGTCAAATTGCACTATTAACTGGAAGAGAAAATCCAAGTACCGAATGACCATCACATGTCTAGTCAGGCTTACTGAAAAATGGAAGGCTCCGTGTTAAGCAGCTTATATACTGGTTTTGTTTAAAAACCGATTATTTTCCAAAGTTGTAAAAACAGATCTATAAAATCCAAGTTACAAGAATCAATATGTTTTAACATTTTTAATTGAAAGATGTCTCATCCATACATTGTCATGTGCATAATTGTTTCTGGAAACCAAGCTATTATTCCCTTTGCATATCTAATAATAAAAGAGCCTGTGCTTAGGGGAAAAGCATTCCATAAGAGATACAAAACATAGAAGAGGAAAGTAAGTTTTCAGACGAGCAAAAAAAAAATCATCACTTAAAAAATTATAGACACCCTCATATTCTTGAGTACCATTCATTTTTCAGATTAAAGCCTTGCTCAATCCAATGAAAGTATTTGGGCTTTAAAAAACACTTAGCAACACATGGAAAAGGACAAAGAAGAAAAGATTCACAGCACCTACGATTATCAGGGGAGGGAGAACATACAAACATCACAGCTTTGACCATAATAAGATGATGTTCATTCATGCTACTTGAATACGTAAGTAATGGTGGCAGAAAAAGAAGAGCAAGCATGGGCCAAGTAGGAGATGGGCCAGGGGCGTACGTGTATACATGACCTGCGGGGAGATTCTCTTCAGCAGGATTGTGGTATTTCTGTTTTATTCCAACCCAGCCAAATACATCCTCTATTTCCCTCTCCTAAGTTACTAACCCAAAGAGGAGCCTAAAGGAAACTCCCAACTTTGTATATAGCATTCCAGCTTTGAAATGTCTCACTGCCACCTTCAAAACCTGTTAGGCCTAAACAATTTGTTCTTAATTCTTTAAATTTTGTATGTCTTAAATTGTCTTTCTTTGCAAAAGATGACAGAGGCATTCAAAAATAATTTTTGGCTTATTTATTTAAAAAAAAAAGTCAACCTTATACATAAATATAATAACAGTAACTCTAAACAATCACAAATGTCTCTACAAAATAATAAATACCATGGAAGTTAAAACATACATATAAAGCTTTACCGTTCACTATTCTACATCTCCTGTGTATCTGCATACCCTGCTCCCCCAACAAAAGGATAGTGTCAAGGCTCACACCGTGTGCATCTTGCAGTGCAGTTACCCTCCGTTGTTGCTGCTACGTTCTAAGCAGGAGGTTCTCACTGTGCTTCCTACACCTAAATACAAAAGAGCTAGAAGTGCACTTCTATGATCCGAGTTCTGATCCAGTGATGACCACATCTGTAACTGCTATAATATACAGCAGAAAGCTACCTCTCAATACACCAAATAAGAACTCTTGGTTACGGCACCTGCACTGAACGTAGAAGACTTATTTAATACTTGTAGTCGAAGTTAGATACTGGCATATACCAAGTATTCGAGTATCTTTCACTAAAGTCAGGGAAGTAACTACATAGTATTAAATTCTAAAAGAACTCCTCATAGGAAACCCTTTACAAAAGTCAAAAAGGAATCAAACACAAGGCTCGTCATTCACATTCTAGAGCAATTCAAGTTCTACAGCCATTAAAATATACATTAAACACCTATGATAAAAAAAGGGACACCAAGAAAATTCTAGGTTTACTTCTAAGCTTAAAATCATAATATTTTGTTAAGCCATTTAAAATGTTTCTTACCCAATAGTCTTCATCTTGATGAAAAGAGGGAGTGACGGGGTGGAGGAGAGAGAGAGAAAGAGAGAGAGACAGAGCTTTGTAGCATTTCCTATGGCAATTCTTTGTTCACTCAAGCACTCTGAGCTCTCTGAGAAGCCACCCTGCTCACACCCAGGACTGCCAGTTGGGAAACTAGTCTCTGAAGGAGACTCCTCTGATGGAGGAGGAAGGAACAGTGTGCAGAACTCCCACGAACACTGATGGAACAGAACCCTATGTCTGACAGTCAGTTCTACTTCTAGTAAGTGCAACAACATCAAAGTTTCACTATTGATAAGAAAATTAAAATACTCATCCTAATGGTTCTCAGCATCTCAAATAAAAGGCTCACAATACACTGACTTTCCTGCTTGAGAAACAACCAAAGATAAGTGAGACTTTCACGGTAGCACTAATATAGTATAGATTTTAATTATAAACTTGTCACGTAGGCCTGAATCCTAACAATTATGCTTTAATTGCAGGTTAATGTAACCTAAACAATACTGTCCTACAAATTAAGGGCAAGCACTAGTGAATCTTATTAAGCAAGACATCAGATACGTCATCACTTTTCTTAACTCCAACATATTTATATATATGACCTTCAGCTTGAAGTACCCTAATATTTAGGCACATCTTGGCTTATTAATATTTTTCATACAGAGGTTACTTTTAATAAACATGTTCACATTAATGTATTAAGTCTAGATACCGGTTGTTCCAAACTTTGAAATACCTGAAACATTTTTAGGTACTAAAAATGTTCACAGAAATTATAAAATGTGTACTTTGCATATTACGCTCCCTTGAGTAATACCAATTCAGGTCAATCTATAGGATTTCCTCTAGATTAGATCAACGATACTGTGGAATAATTCATTTTCGGCCTCTATTAAAACATCTGCGTCACCGTCCGCTCCTCTGAACCCACGACGAATGCAGGCTTATTAGGAAAGGTCTCCTTAATGCTGACACTGTGCTCTGAACGGCGACTCCCCCCGGAGGCAGCACACTTGGCACCACACCCCGGCTAGCTGTCCGAGGCTTAGTCTTTGGACTTCATCTGCTTTCAGTTATTAAGCGTTAATTTAGACCTTGAGTTTAAAAAACCAGGTAAGCTATCTGTAAAAACAAGTACGAAAAACACACAGCTGCAGCCTGTTGAAGCCAACCCCTGCCAAACGAAGCCGAAGACCTGCTTGCCATAGGCTGAAGAAACACGGATTTTTAAACTGATTATGTAATGGCGTTTTCAGAGTAAATCGGATTAAATTAAACACTAATTTGTTAAGTTGCTTTGTTTACTTCAGGAAAAGAAAGGTAAGCAGATTGCTAGAAGGGTCCGGCTGAGGAAGGGAAGCTGGCTGGCAGCCCGCGTGCACCTGTTCCTCTAGATCGTCCACTGTGACCACAGTCCTGACCCACAACAAGATGCTTTTAACAATTCCATTCAGCAAAACTGCTCCATCACCTTACTCTAAAACGTTCCTTCAAAACACCTTCATAACCACAGTTAAAGGCATATTCAGATATACTCCAGACCAGATGAATGGTCTATTTTACTATCACCATCCAGAACATAAAACGATGCGGCTGATTTCACCCCCTCCAGGACATTCCTAAACCCCCATCATGTAGGGATAGGGCTACTCACCTCTCACCTAGCCCTCGGAAGGGGAGGACGATAACAATAATATTGCTGATAACATACTACCTTACTCTGAGAAGAGCCAGACCAGAAGTTCACAAGTGTATATATATATATATATATATATATATATATATAACCCAGATTACATCACTAAATAATGCTTAAATCCTGGTCATAGAGTCATAGAGGCTATTTGCCAAGGTTAAGCTAAAAATCACATAATGTAAATAACAGGTTTTACTATTTTCTATCGCAGAGTTAGCTGAATTCGGCCAATGGATCGAATAATCTTTAGATTAAACCCAGATCTTTCTCCAGGAGAGGCAGCTTATTCTAAGAGTCTATCCACCCATCCTTTACAGCTTAGCATGTTCAGCTATACTAAATACTAGGATACTGTAAATATCAGATAATTAGGATCTTTACTCCAAAGAAACAAAATATAAAGTTCTGCCTATGAAATGAATTTTTAAAAACCCATACTTGCCTGGTTATTGTTTAAAAAACAAAAAAAGATTTTCTTATAAATTGTACATCTACAGAAAACAGAAGCTGAACCATAGGCAAGAGTGACAGAAAAGCCACCAGGAAAATAAAGCAAAAAAGAAGGAAGCTGACAGAGGGCACACACCACAGAACAGCTAGTGAAGTGCAGCAGGCAGAGCTCCACAACTTTGAAAGTCAAAGTTAAACTATCTCGGGGAGAGAGGCTGGTCAGGAAGGAAGCGGAGTCAGGGGCTTTTTTCTTCTACCTTGTACCCAGGGACTGACTTGGACAGTACAGAACGTTTGGAAACATCTTTTCTTGGAGTAGCAGCTTTGTCCTTGGATCTCTGTCTTCCCTGGAAAGGCTCCTCCTGGCTGTCAGGAAGGCCTTCCCCTTCAGACACGTTGCCGGAGGAGCTGTCCTGGAGGTCAAAAGCACAAACAAAGATCCCTTGGAATTCACACAGACTTGAGTGTGATTTGTAAAAAGTTTTAAAGTTCCATCAATGTAAAAATAAAAACATAACTGTAAATATAAGAAAACTTTTTCCAGTGCCGACTAAAAGAAGTCATGTTAAAAATCACCTACCTGTGCTATAAATACATGAAATCATAGAGCTAATTCCATTTACACCAGCTAGTACCTTAATCCACCGTTCTCTGACGTAACACGACCAGAACTGTCTGCTTCGGTGCTTCGACACCATTGTGCCGCGTCACGGGGGGCATTGTTTGTTTCAGACAAAAAACTGCTCAAAAAATAAACTGTCTTAAATAAGGGTGGGTATTTTTTACTGAGTAATAAATGTCATTAGAGTTCTTCAAGCACTCACTTGTATTCCATGCAAGCACCAGTATCGCTGAGCCTTTACGACAGTATCTGACATATTTTAGATGTTCAAAGTTTAGGAGTTCGATATCTGAATATTTAATTCTTCATTTTTTTATTTAAAATTTTCTAATTAAAATAAAAATGCTATGTTCATATAAATTATGAAAATTAATAACTGAAAAAATTAGGTTATCCATAACTACTTTGATAAACATTCTGAGACAACTACTGGGAACATAAATGCATCTCCTTTTAATTTTTTCCAGGTGTGTGTCTGCATATAAATACCCAGAGTCACACATTCACACATTCATACACACACCTATCTACACATACCCCTCATTTTTTTAGAACACAAAACGGGTGGGGCACCTGGGTGACTCAGTCAGTTAAGTGATCGACTCCTGGTTTCCGCTGAGGTCATGATCTCAGGGTCGTGAGATCGAGCCCCGCATCGGGCTCCAGGCTCAGTGCAGAGTCTAAGATTCTCTCTCCCTCTCCGTCTGCCCCTCCCCGACTCCTCTAATATAAATAAATCTTAAACATGATCTTAAAAACACACACACACACACACACACAACTGGATTACACTGTGTATGCATGTGTTTTTCAATTGTTTTAAGTATTATGTGCATTTTATCACATCATTTAATATTCTTTGAATTTCATTTCTGTCATGTAAATGTAATATATCACTTACTGTGAACATTAAAATTATTCCTAATTTCCATTATAAAAAAAATACAGTTAACACTCCAATGGCCATTTTTTGTCCTAATTATTGTCCTTCAGGTAAATTCTAATATATTTGCTAGGTCAAATTCTGTGGAAGTCAAAAATCTTGGTTTTACTGTTAAATACTCTCCTGAAATGTTGGATTAATTTGTACTGACAAGCAGAGTGAGGGAAAGTCAACACACCCTGTTCACACCACCGCAACCCTTTCGCCAGTAAGACAGGAGAAAAGTGGTACCATCCTTTAATACTTGAATAGCATCTTAGTTTATGTAACATGTATCATTAAATGTTTTAGAAGGTGCTGGTGACAAAAGATTTACTGCACATCGAATGGTAGCACATTCTCAGGTTCAGTCTGGCTGCTCAGTGCACCACGCTAAATCACATCAGAATCCTCTGACATCGTGGTTTTGTTCTCCTTCACTTCCACCAAGCACACCAACACTCCCCAGTCATGCAACTGCATTTTGCTTAAAAAAAAAAAAAAAAAAAGTCATACAAGAAAACCTACCTAATAGCACAACATACCAGTCACCTTCACATTTTCCTATAGGAAATCTAAATTATTAATTAAGCAATAGGATGGGCCCCTGGGTGGCTCAGTCAGTGAAGCATCTGCCTTTGGCTCAGATCTCAAGGTCCTGGGATCAAGCCCTGTGTGGGGAATCCCTGCTCAGTGGGGACCCTGCTTCTCCCTCTCCTCCCCGCTTGTGCTCTCTGTTGCTATATCTGTCTCTCTCAAATAAATAAGTAAAATATTAAAAAAAAAAAAAAAATTAAGCAATAGGAACACAAGTTAATGTGCTCCCAAAACCAAGACAGTTCAATATAGGATTGTAAACTCACGTCCGGTGCCCTTTCCTAACCTGCCTGTGATAACTTTAAAGGCAACTTTAAAAATAAAACTTACCAAAGGCCATCCACAGCCTGTCTACACCAATGCACACAATAAATAATATTCTTGATGAAAGCATTCAGGAAATTATATGCAACTGTCCTTTTTCAAAAAGAGGATGGTGATACAAGTTCAATTCAACATCTGGGAAAGCAATTAGCAAAAACTCAAAGGGAAGGAGACACCTCCTAGTAAAGATCAATGTTCCTACCGAAGTGCCTTTATGTTTCCGTTTCTCATCGCCTTGACCATCCTCGGCATCATCTGAATCGCCATCGCTGTCTAGGGCCGGGAGCTCAGGATCCAGAGGGGGCTCATAAAGTGCGGTGTTTAACGGCAGATACCGCAGCTCATCTGGTGAGTACCTGAGGTTCAGAGAGATGACTGTCAGTTGTCTTTTGATTAATATGAATGATCTAATCCATGAGCTTCAAACATAGCCTTAATCTTCTCAATTAACCCCAAGTACTTTTGGAAAATGATTACAGATGTAACAAGTAAGTTTTCATTTTGTATCAAGTAAGGAAAAGTAATAAATAAAAAGCCTAAACATTTTTTGCACCAGGCTATGAGTTTAATATACACATTTGATTCTTATTATCAAAAGATTTGTCTCTCTCCTTCATCTTCAACCCAAAAAGAGGAAAAAAAAAAAAAAAGTCAGCAGACTAAAGTGGAACTGTGGCAATTAAGGACTGTGCACAAAACCCACGCCCCCTGAGTGCCCCACCCCTCACTCCCTAAGTTATCACTGCTTCTGGGTCCACTGCTGCTTCACATGCACAATAAGTATGATGATGCGTCCACCTCACAGACGGATGTGAAGATTTTATCAATTGACACTTGCAATGCACGGCAGCACGTGGTCCATGACATTGTTTAAGAAACCAAATCAATCATCTATTGTGTCTGAAATGAGAGATCAGCAGCCCCTGACCCTGAATCAGATGGCATCCACGCCACAGGACACTGGCCATTCCCAGCCACAGGCCAGCCCTCTCCCATGTCACACCCTGTCCACACCCTGAAACCTGAGTTTGGGAGTGGGCACTGGATCTGCATCTCCCTCAACTAAGACAGCAAAAAGCAAAGGGATTGGTACCCTGGCATGTCACTTTTAATAATTTGCTGACCCAAAAGTGAAATTAAAATCTGCTAACCCATGATTTAAATTTGGCTTTCAAATAGTAGGATCCTATGGTCTATTTTAAATACTATTCCTTAAAGAACAGTCTCTTTCCTCAAGAACATAAGGTTTAAGGCTGAAGTAAAAGCTGAGATTTTCAAATAAAATGACCCTGTTAGCCTGGTTTTCAGTTACATCCCGGCTGGGACTCAGAGGTAAGCAGCCCTCTTGCCACCCTGCGTGGAAGCAGCAGCCAGGCCGGCGATGTGGCTGGAACAAGCAGGTGGCCGTGGCCACCCGGCAGCCTCTCTGCTCCTTCCTTCATCTCCTCTGCCGAATAAGTCCGTGCTTCCCGAGGGAGCAGGTCTGGGTTGTGCCCAGGAGTCTGCATTCCCAATAAGCTTTCAAGTGACACACGTAGAGATTGAGGCCTGGGGTGCTTTAGAACCTCTGACGCCTACCCACAGAAACACAAGCAGGGGGGCGGGGAGATAGGCAGCCTGGGCCTTGTCAGCAGACAGCAGACGTTCAAGCACTGCCTGAAGGGGGTTGTTCTGTGTGCAGAGCCGCAGAAGTCAGAGAGGATACGGACACATGCCAAACTCTTTGGAGGCAAGTATGCCAGACTCTCAAGTCCCTCAGCAATACCCAATAGTAATGGTCATAAAACCAATGAATACCTTTTGTAATATTCCTGGAACTGTCCGGGGATGAGGGCCACTGGGTAAGAACTGACCTTGGTTCGCTCTGTCGGTAACACTTTGTACTTCCCTTGAGGCACCTGGATAACCTGGGTTAACATGAAGAGAAATACAAAACTGATTCCACGCTAGGAATCAAGGTTTTAGGATTTGTTCTCCACTGTGCTCCTCCCCGCCAAAGGCTAGAAACACAGGAGACGTTAGGAACTAGAACCCGAGGGGACAGGAGGGTGTTTCTGGCTGTACATGGGGACTGTGTCTGGCTCTTTGCCACAGCCATCAGTGCTGAGGGAAACGTAGCGTGCTTCTGCCCACCGCTGACGAGCAAGGGGACCTGGGCAACACATACGGCATCCTCATCTATGAAATGAGAAGAATACTAGCTTCAACCTCATATGGCAACTGTGAGTATCAAGTGAATTAAGATGGAAATTTCTTAAAACAACCCTTGGGACAAGCAAAAGTCAACTACAGAGCAAAAGACACCTCCCTCCCTCACACACACACACACACACACACACACACAGAAGTGAGCTGAGTATTACTGGCATATCGTTAAAAATTATATCTTAAGTTCTGGGGCAGAAAAGGACACACTGCCAGCAGAAAAAAAAAAAAAAAAACAACGGCTAAATAAAGGAGGCGCTGAGCACTCTACCCTAACAAGCACAAAGTGAGGTTCAGGAACTAATAAAGTTAAGCAGCCCTACGTGTGTCTGCAAGTCAAAATAAGCTCTTCTTTCTTCCATACGTTCCCGGTTTAAGTTGCTGTTAAATTCAGCTGCTTTTTTGGCAGCTTTCTTAATGTACTCAGGCACTTTGCTGGCTTCAACCTTCTGAGTATTCTGTTGTTGCATTTGCTGAAATAAAAATATTATAGTTGGAAGTCACATACAACTTTACAAAATGTCATTCTCCCCAAACCAAATAAGAGATGCCAATCACCTCAATACTTACAGAATACTCTTTATAATGATCTGTAATTCGCTGACGTTCTTTTTCTTGTAAAATAACAGAATATTCAGCATGTTTGGCTGGATATTCTTTTATCATTAAATCAATCACTTCATCACTGCGCAATGCTGTTAAACCTATTTTAGACCAAAAAAATAGTTAAAAAAAAAAGCTCTTTTAAGGCTAAGTGAACAAAACTACTTTTCAAAATTTGCTTTTCCTTTAATCTACTCTACATTTAAAATTTTCCAGTAGTCAAGGGAGAATACTGTAATATATTTGAAAATAATAAAAAACAATATTCATAATATAAAGTCAAACAATTTTTTAAAAAAAGCTCATCAAAGTTGCAAAGGAAAACAAATCAATTTTTGAACCACATTTTTTTTTAAGATTCAATGTACTATAAACATTTTTCCCTTTACTAAAAACAATGGCTAAATAATGATGCATACTAACTTAGGCCATTGAGGATTAAGGATTATCCTTAATCTAATATCCTCAACTAAGGAAAGATACTAGACAAAAACAAGAGTTTTTCAATATATTGCAGTACTTAGTCTTCAAATTCAATACACTAGAAATATTACAAAGAGTCCATTTAAATTCCAAGAGAAGCATCAGCACGCACATACAAGTCACACAGGCAATTTTCAAAACTCAGAGCATCCGATCATATCAACTGTTGTGATGAACACCCATGGTTTTATGTTAAAAAGTGCCACGGCGCATTGTTTAATTAAAGAAAAACTGGAAACAAAGCATGGAGATAAGGCTACAGAACTAAAAACAGAGCAAAATGTGCCTTATAAGAGATAAAGACAATACTTTTTAAAACTACTATACAAATTTGGCACACCACACACACGGACACTTCTGTGAAATATTGTTATGTCATTCTCCTTTATCTTTTAACAAAAACCAAAAATAAACAATTTAGCATTTAAATAATTCAATCTATCTCATTAATTTTGTAAAATACTTAGGAAAAAGGACAAATACCCATCCAATATCACCTCATAAACATCTAGCTTTCAGAATTCCCATTCAAAGCCTCTGTTACCTAGAGTGCACTGCGTCTCTGTGATGACATTCAGCTCCCGCAGGTAGAGTTTCTCCTTATGGGACAAATCTCGTCGCTCTAAATCTCCAAAAAAAAGAACAAAAGACTATTAAAAATAGTCTTTTACATTTATAACATTATGCATTTGTAAAACTTTTAAAAACTTAAAAACCTTCTTAAGATTTTTTTAAAAAGTTAAATTCTTCATGGACTTAAAAAAGTACTATGTGTTATATATTCCAAAGATTACTAAAGAGACCACGCAAACAATCTTACAAATTCAAGGAATAAAAGCTAAATTAAAGTTGAAAACAGAATAACCCAAAGCAAGAATAGTAACTTAGTTGCACAGACAGCTTTTCTCAAATGGAGACACAGCCCCATGCAGCTGCCTCCCTCGCTCAGGCCAGCAAGCAATGGGAAAGAATCAAACTCCTGCTGCTTTTGGCCATAACATGACTTTTTCTAAGACTTTCCCCAGGAAATTCACCTTCCACATTCTGCTTTTAAGTCCATTTATAAGGCATAAGAGCAAACGGAGAGTGGAGAGAAACGTTGGGTGACAGCAGAAAGGAAAATCAGCCGGCAGAAGAATATACAGTACATTACAAATATTCCATACTCAAATATTCAGAAGTTGATAACCTATCAAAAAGAATTACTATTTAGTTAAAAGTTAGATTTAATCTGTTACATAAACTAAGACTTAATACCTGGATATTTCCGTTTAAAGGAGGTCACACCCAAATATTCACTGACTTGTTCTTGAAGCATATAGTATTCTCCTGTTTCATCAGGTGGCCATTTGTACTCTATCAAATTTTCTGCTGGATAGTAGCTAAAGCTAAGCACAGAAATATGTATTATGCCTTAAATGTGGCTTTTATTAAGCTTTAATCATTTTTAAGGATTTATTTTTGAGGAGTTTCATTTTTAGGAATTTGGAGAACTACTTTAATTATTTAAATTCTCATTCAGTCTTCTGACTCTGCCATACATACAAGTTCCTACCGTCTTGTGCGTCCAAGAACATCACAAACAGGCAGAGGGAAAGGAAGCAAGCGTGTGATACCAAACAGAACAGGACACTGGAACACACCCCAAAGAACCGAGACTCACAACTGTCAGCAATAAAGGAATTCTGTAGTGTTAAGAGATCTATAAGGCCAAAACAAAACGGTGGTGATATTCTTTCTGAATTCCCTCTCTTGAGCTTCACACCCATACTGCTATTTCATCCGCCCAAAGTACAAAGTCACCAACTCGTTTCCCACCTGCTGTTCAGTGAGTCAAACAGCTAAGAAAGCAGAACTCCAAAAACGTGTTTCTCAAAGAGCTGAACTATAAACCATAACTGTTTGTTCTCATAGACTCCACAGGCCAGAAGCACAGAACAGACCTGGTTTGATGGTTCCAGTGTACCGTGGACCAATCCCAATCCTGAAGAGCAAACGACAGATCTCTGGGCCTGGCCAACTCAACCTCTAAAAGTCATCACTGGACAATAGAGGCAAGAACGTGACACTATTTTATGCATCCAATTAAAAGTAACAAACAAAAAGTAGTTTTCTCAAAAATAGTGCTGGGAAATTAGATATCCAAATGCAAAAGTATGAAATTGGACCCTTACCTCCTATCACATTCAAAAATAGATCAACAACCTCAGTACAAAAACCAAACCAGAAAACTCTTAGAAAAAAACACAGGAGTAACTCTTCCTGATCTCAGATTTGGCATTGGGTTCTAGATGACACCAAAAGCATGAGCAACAAAAGAAAAATAGGTAATTTCAACTTCAGCAAAATTAAAAATTTTGTGCATTTTAGGACTGTTCAACAGAGTGAAAAGGCAACCCACAGAATAGGAAGAAGGAACTGCAGATCCTGTATCTGATAAGGGATCAATATCCAGAATGCATAAAAAACTCCACTACTCAACAACAACAAAACAAACAACCCAATTTAAAAATGGCAAAAACACCTGAATAGACATTTCCCCCAAAGATTCACAAATAAGCACTGACAGGATGGTCAACATCACTGGTCACTACGGAAATTCAAATGGAACCGAGAGTGAGATGCCACCTCACCTCTCTTAGGATGGTTCTTATCAGAACAACCGGGACATAACCAATGGCAAAGGAAACTGCACTGCTGGTAGGAACAGAAAATGATGTGTCCGCTGGGGAAAGCAGTTTGGTAGGTCCTCAAAGTGCTAAACACAGAACTACTCTACGATCCAGCTGCTCCTCTCCAAGGGATACGCCCAAAGGGACTGAAAACAGGGATTGAACACATATTTACACACCAACGTTCACCGCAGCACTGTTCACAACAGCCCAAAGTGGGAAACAACCCTAGTGTCCGTCATGGGTGAAAGGACCAACAAGAGGTGGTCTATCCACGCAACGGAGCTCAGTTAGCCCTAAAGAGAAAGGAAATTCGGACACATGCTACAACATGGATGAACTTCCAAGAAGCCAGACATAAAAGGACAAATACTGTATGATTCCATCTACACGAGGTGCACTGGACAAGCAAATCCAAAATGTCAGCAAGGGGATGGTGGCTGCCAGGGGCTGGGGAAAGAGAGAAGCGGCAACTGTTACTGCTTCCTGGCTAGGACGTTTCAGTGCAGGGGTGAAGCAACAGAGAAGGGTGCAGGTGGCAGCTGAAGGACACCGGACATAACTGTGCCACTGAGTGACACACCCAAACATCACTACAATGGTGAATTTTATATGTGTATTTTATCCAATAAAAACATGTTTTAGTTGCACTGAGTAACAAAAGCAATGTTGGTGTCCTATGTAAAACATGACAAAAATATTCTACAATATCTAGTAACTGCCTTTGCCAGTGCAGGGGCCGGGGAGGAGGGAGGTATCGCAGAGGAGAGAAACATACCACAAAAACTACTATTAAGCAATGAAATGACAGTACCCAAGATCTTGACTTGAAGTCTCACAACTCCTAGAGCTATCTCCTGAGCCCATTCGCCTCCTTTTGGATGGTTGGGTCCCATCATTTGAATTATCTTCATTATCATCCTATACATTTAAAAAATTCGAAAAATAAGAAGAGAAACAATAAAAAAATAAGGAAAGAATGATTATGTATCTTCCCAGACTTGCTAAAAGGCTCCACTTAAAGGCTTTTTAAGGACAATTGATTATACAATGTTAACTTTCTATTATAATTAACAGGTATTTGGTTTTGGCATGGCAAGAATTTGGTATGGCAAGACCTGGAAGAAAACTAAAAAAAAAAGTGATCTTCAGTACAATCAAAATAAGAAAATTTTTAATTAACCTGTAAATCTAAATCTACTTTTGCTTTTTTACCGACTGCAGTTAAAATGCCCTGTGCATTAAAAACACATAAAATTGCTGCAACACTCTAAAATTAAAGCAAACCCTCCTACCTCAGCTAGGGAAAAAAATGTATGGATCATTTAGTGTTTAACTCAACTCATAGCTGGTTGACAGAACTATTCTAATGGGCTCTTATATACTTCTATTTCCGTGAAAAAAGGGCATACAAGGACTAAACACACATTACCAATCCTGTTAATTTTTTTCTTACATTGCAAAAATTTAACGAGAATATTCCCTAATAAGAGTTATCAATCTATACAGCAACACACACACATCTCCACCAAAAGAGGAGAGGCTTAAGCATTTTTAGGTAACATTATCTGTGATGAGACAGTAATATCAAGACTCTAAGTTGGACCATTCCATTCAGAACATGAATGAGGCATCAGATGTTAGGAAATGGATTTATTCACATATTAGCTAAGGCTTAATGACTATAAGACTTACAAAAAATAACTTTTAAAAAAATCAAGGACATGTAGCTTTGTAAGATGAATACAATTTTGTTAAATACCATGGTGCTCTTGCTACATATTAAAAAGAATGCAATCCTGTGGAAGAATACAAAGAGGTAATAAGTTATATTGGTCATGCGTGCCAAAACTGGACTTAGATCTTACTGGGCACTGTCCTCCACTAGCTGAGGGAAGCTGTGGGAGCCTCTCCTTATCTGTAAAATTGAGATGATAGTACCGCCTGGATGGTGTGGCTGATGCAAGGATTAAACGAGTTAAATACATGGGAAGCACTTAGAGCAAGGCCTAGCAAATAATTAAGGGCCCTACAAAAGTTAATACAACTGTGAGGATAATCAGAAAGTCTCAAATGGCTCCAGCTACTAGGAATTTACTCAGATTCTTTCCCAAACAGTAAAATATATGGCATTTTGTCCTTTTTTAGTTCCTGTATAATATAATCATTCAATTAAAGAACTCTGTATATTCCTCTTAAGAAAGGCAACCAGGTATGAGATGGAGAAGAATAAATGTATTCTCCAAACATTTACATTTAACAGTAAGACTCACAATTGAGACATTTCATATTCAGTATTTCAGGAACAACTCCCTTTAAGCAAATTCACGTATTTTATTTTTTTGTTTTACTTGCGACTGAGCATGTTAAGGAGTTTTACGTCGATTTAAGTATATTTCCCTTGGCTAAAAAGTGGAAACACTGGGCGCCTGGGTGGCTCAGTCGGTTGAGCGACTGCCTTCGGCTCAGGTCACGATCCTGGAGTCCCGGGATCGAGTCCCGCATCGGGCTCCCGGCTCGGCGGGGAGCCTGCTTCTCCCTCTGACCCTCTCCCCTCTCATGCTGTTTCTCTCTCTCTCTCTCTCTCAAATAAATTAAAAAAAAAAGAAGCTGAAACACTCCAAAGAGGTGAAACATGCAAAGTCCTCCAGAAAAGCGGAAACCGGAGTTTCACAGGCAGTGCTCGGCAGGGCACCGGGAGCACGAGGGAGCCCGCGCCTGCGGCCCCTTCCACGCACAGGTGCGCGGCGGAGCGGGGAGCGTTAGGGACCGCCCGCAGTCCGCGCCGCAGGTGCGCGCCCCCCGCGGCCGCTTCCCCCGCGCCCCACCTTCCGCCCCAAGCCCCCGACCGCGCACCCGCGCGGCGCCGCGCAGCTGGCGGCCCTCCAGTCGCCTCCGGCTGAACACGCGGTCCCCTTACCTCCGGGAAACCGCACCGACTACAACATTTCAATTCACAAAGAGAGTTTCGCAGTAAAACCTGCGGGGCCGCGTGCTGGTCTAGTTACCAAACTAAGTTCACGCACTAGCTCGTGCGCCAGCTGTCTGGTAGGAGCCGGTCACGCCGGCCACCGCGGAGCCTCCGGAGCCGGTTTCCGGCTCGCGGCCGGGACGCCGCAGCCCGGGAGCCGCTTCCGCCAGGCGCGCCCCGAACCCCGGCGACGCGCGCTCCGCCCCGCACTCCGCGGGGCCGAGCCGCCCCGCCGCCTCAGGGGCCGGGCCGCGGCGGCCGAGCGGGCTGCGGCCTCCGGCTCGGCCCGGCCCCGTCCCGCCCCGCCCCACCGGGCGCCGCGCCTCACCTTCGGGGACGGCGCTCCGGGGGTGGCCGGGTCGCTGTCGCACGGCCGCGGGGACAGCGCCGTCCCGGGGCCGGCCGCCGCCGCCATCAGCCCGAGCGCCCCGCGCCGCCGCCGCCGCCGCCGCCGCCGCCTCGTCCCGGCCGCCGCCGCCGCCGCCGCCGCCGCCGCCGCCGCCGCGCGGGCCGCCCGCCGCCCGGGCCCCGCCCCCTCCGCCCGCCCGCCGCCCGGGGGCCGGCCCCTGCCGCCGCGCGCCCCGCGGCCCGCCAGCGCCGCCGCCACCGCCATGGCCGCCGCCAGTGCGCCGCCGGGGCGCCGCGGCTGCGGGGGCGGAAGGAGGCCGCCGGCGGCCCGCGCGCTTCAGCCCCGCCGGCCGCTCAGCGCGCCCCCCCGCTCCGCGGCGGCGCCGTCCGCCGGCCTCCGCGGTTCCCGCCGCGCCGGCGCCCCTCGGCCCCGCGCGCCCCTCCGCCCGCGCACCGCGCCCTTCCGCCGCCGCGCCCCGCGGCCCCTCTCGGCCCCGGCCGCCGCTCGCCTCGGCCCCCCGGCCGCCGCCGGCCGCGGCGCTCGGCTGCTGCCGCCCCGCCGCGCTGCGCGGCCCCGCGCGATCCTCGGGCCGCCGCCGCCGCCACACCTCCCGGCCCGCCGCAGCCCGGCGCGCTCCGCGGCCCCACCTCCCGCCGTCCCCTCAGCCCCCAGCCCCGCCCCGGCCCGCCGCCACTTGGCGCGCTCGCAGCCGCCCCCTCCCCGCGGCCCCCGGCCCGGCCCGGCCCGGCCCCGCCGCACGTCAGCCCTCTCCTCCCACCGCGCCGCGCCGCGCCGCGCCGCCCCCTCCCCTCCCGGGGGACCCTCCCTCCGGGGGGCCGCCGCCTCCGCCGAGGGACCCTCCGCCGCCCCGCCCCTCCCCTCCCGGGGGACCCTCCCTCCGGGGGGCCGCCGCCTCCGCCGAGGGACCCTCCGCCGCCCCGCCCCTCCCCTCCCGGGGGACCCTCCCTCCGGGGGGCCGCCGCCTCCGCCGAGGGACCCTCCGCCGCCCCGCCCCTCCCCTCCCGGGGGACCCTCCCTCCGGGGGGCCGCCGCCTCCGCCGAGGGACCCTCCGCCGCCCCGCCCCTCCCCTCCCGGGGGACCCTCCCTCCGGGGGGCCGCCGCCTCCGCCGAGGGACCCTCCGCCGCCCCGCCCCTCCCCTCCCGGGGGACCCTCCCTCCGGGGGGCCGCCCCCTCCCCCGAGGGACCCTCCGCCGCCCCGCCCCTCCCCTCCCGGGGGACCCTCCCTCCGGGGGGCCGCCCCCTCCCCCGAGGGACCCTCCGCCGCCTCCGCCCCTCCCCCCGGGGGGGTCCCCGCCGCCCCGCCCCTCCCCTCCCGGGGGACCCTCCCTCCGGGGGGCCGCCCCCTCCGCCGAGGGACCCTCCGCCGCCCCGCCCCTCCCCTCCCGGGGGACCCTCCCTCCGGGGGGCCGCCCCCTCCCCCGAGGGACCCTCCGCCGCCTCCGCCCCTCCCCCCGGGGGTCCCCGCCGCCGCTACCCCCTCCTCCCCTCCCCCGAGAGACCCTCTGCCCCCCTCAGCCCAGGGGTCTCCGCCGCCTCTACCCCTTGCCCTCACACGCGGGACCCTCCGCCCCCTCCCCCCTCCCTTCACCCGAGAGACCTTCTGCCCCCTCAGCCCAGAGGTCCCCGCCGCCGCTACCCCTTCGCTCCCCCCCGCGAGACCCTCTGCCGCCTCCGCCCCTCCCCCCGGGGGTCCCCGCCGCCGCTACCCCCTCCCCTCCCCCGAGAGACCCTCTGCCCCCTCGGCCCAGGGGCCCCCTCCTCCCCTCCCCTCCCCTCCCCCGAGAGACCCTCCGCACCTCCCCCCAGGGGCCCCCGCCGCCCCTCCCCCTCCCCTCCCCCGAGAGACCCTCCGCGCCTCCCCCCAGGGGGTCCCCGCTGCCCCTACCCCCTCACCGAGGGACTCTCCTCCTCCTCCCCCCCTTCTCCCAAGGGTCCCTGTCCTCCCCCTCAATCCCGAGGGACCCACCCCCTCCCCCCGGGGGTCCCCGCGTCCTGGCACCGGCCCCGTGGGCTGTATCGCGGGGGGCTGTGGGGGCCCCTGCCCATTTCGCGGTCGGCCCTCGGCCACCGCCCCTCGGCCGCCTTTGTTCTCTGCTGCGGCCTCACGCTCTCCGCAGCTCCTGAACCACCTGCCAGGGAGCCAGTCTATGACATCCTCCGCTGCTTTCATCTGAAAAGTTTCTGCACATCCAGCTCCCTGCCTGTCGAGATGGCACAGCGTAAGAGTGGCTCGGATTCAGCTCGCACGCGCGTGATTGTGCGGCGCAGTGTGCCCCGTGCGGCAGCGGGCACCTGAGACCCTCGAAGGCCGCCAGGTGGTCCGGCACGCGGGGAGAGCTCCCTAACGCTGCTGACCTCCCGGGCCTCTTGTCTCATCTGCGAAGTGGGGAGAAATCCTGAATCCTCAGGATTACTGCAAAGGTCATGGTCCAAAGGTAGGCTGACAAAAGACACCGACATGATGGGAAGCGTTCTACTTGAACTGAATTTATCGTTAATCCTAGTTGGTAGACTTCACCTGGCCACTTCTAGATTTCTCCACACGTCAGGAACTGAACCTTAAAAGAACATGGCAGATAGTTGTGACGACAAGGGTACCAGAAATCTGTCGCAGTAGACCTCTCAGCAGACACTTTAGTATCTCAGAGTGTAGAGGACTTGCTTCAGGCAATAGACACATGACTTCCCTTTCGTTATTTTTGCTTACACTCAGCAAGCAAAAGTTTGGAAAGGAGAAGTAAAGGGATAAAGGACCTATTTTGACTCTCCCAGCCCACCTATTCCTGACTTTCCATTCCCATCAGCTCAGAAATGGCACCAATAGCTGGAGACTCACAAAGGGCTCCTGATTTAAACTTTGCTTTCACTCACAACCTCAGTCAGACCAGCTCCCTGTTTCCCTACGCACTGAAGAAAATAGCCTGTCTGAATCCACCAAGAAAAATCAACAACTTTCTCCCCAATTCTCTTAACTCATCAGGGCCCTTACTCGGATTCTTTAGATGGAATTTAACATTAAATATACATACATATATATGTTCAGAATATACTTTCATTTATTTCGGTCCACTCTCTTCCCTTGGGTATTCTGTCTCTAGATCAGATGCAAGTTTAAAACTCTTCATTCCAAGTCAACAGGTACTGACTCAGCCCTTCAACATGCAAGGCAAGCCAGAATATTCAGGAGACACTCTTGTGGATTCCAATCCCTGCCCATGGGCAGTTTCAACACTGAAAGAATATGACACAAATATATAAATGTATTTAAAGGCAGTTTAGGTGGGAAAAAATTTACTTGCAAGTACAAAAGTTAAGATTTTAAGGTTGACATAGAATTTGAAAAGTATCTTAAGAGACTGGGGTAGGACAATTCCAGGTCAATGTACAATTGGAAATGGAAATAGGGTTTCAAGCCTGAAAAAGACTGAGAGATGGAAAAATAAGAAGCATATTTAGGCACATCAGCCATTCCAGTGTGGGTTGAGAGTAGGGTAGATGAAGGCAGATTCCAGGAGTTAGGGGTGAAATATACAGGGCAGTGGCATGATGCAATGGTGAGAACAAAGATCAAGAGTTAAGATTTGGGGGGCACCTCAGTGGCTCAGTTGACTGAGCATCTGACTTTTGATTTGGGCTCAGGTCTTGATCTCAGGGTGGTAAGATCCAGCCCCTGATGGGGCTCCCCGCTCAGTGTGGAGCCTGCTTGGGATTCTCTCTCTCCCTCTCCTTCTGCCCCTCCCTCTTCCCTCTCTTAAAAAAAAAAAAAAAAATGAGATAAGATTGTGATCAGTACCAACTGTGCCACTTAATAGCTGTGTGATCCATAATGGGTTAATTTTTTATCTCTCTGAAACTCCATTTCCTCATTTGTAGGATTAAAATAATAATGTCCATCCAATTATTTCACAAATATTTTATGAAAAGCAACTATGAACTAAGAATTATGTTAGGTGATAGAAATATAAGGAATCATTCATTTATTCATCAAATACTACCTTGCTACGTACTAAGTTGGAAATAAGTGGAAAAGGAGCAGGAAACTAAGTGACAGATATTGTAAACTGAGAGGATAGTGTTTCAAAAAGAGGGACAGAGGCGCCTGGGTGGCTCAGTTGGTTGAGCGACTGCCTTCAGCTCAGGTCATGATCCTGGAGTCCCGGGATCGAGTCCCGCATCGGGCTCCCTGCTCGGCGGGGAGCCTGCTTCTGCCTCTGACCCTCCCCCCTCTCATGTGCTCTCTCTCTCATTCTCTCTCTCAAATAAATAAATAAAATCTTAAAAAAAAAAAAAAGAGGGACAACTATGTCAATTGAGAGGTTAATAAGATGAGGACAGGGCGCCTGGGTGGCTCAGTTGGTTAAGCGACTGCCTTCGGCTCAGGTCATGATCCTGGAGTCCCTGGATCGAGTCCCGCATCGGGCTCCCTGTTCGGCGGGGAGTCTGCTTCTCCCTCTGACCCTCCCCCCTCTCATGTGCTCTCTCTCTCTCTCTCTCATTCTCTCTGTCTCAAATAAATAAATAAAATCTTTAAAAAAAAAAAAAGATGAGGACAAAGAAATGTCCATTGTATTTAGCAATCTGGGGGTAATGAGCAAACTTAATTATTTTGAGCTGTTTCTAAGGAGTGGCAACTTCAGAAGCTAGCCTGAAGTCCCTTGAGGAGGGAACGGGAGGTTAATACGTGAAGTTTGTGCCGAGTATCTGAGAAAGAAGGTAGCTGGAGAAGTGGGTTGTTGTCTTTAAGGCGGGACACGGGAACAAGCTTGAATGCCAAGGAGGGGGAGCAGAGGGGGCATCGCGTGCAGGAGCTAGGGAGGCAGCTCTGGGAAGGCCAGAAGCCAGCACGGTGCTGGGTAAGCCCTTGACAGCTTACAAGAAGCACAGTCTATCCACTGCGACAAGACAGGAAACAGAATGTGGCTGCAGATGCAAGTAGGTTTTGAGACTTGGTGGTGAAAAACTTGAAAGATTTTCCTCTGATATTTTTTCTTTCCTGAATGAAATAGGAGGTGAAACCACCCATGGAAGTGAGGAGAGGAGAGGAATAAGGAGGTAGTGGGGAGAGGTAGGAGAGCAAAGTTCCTAGGATGCCAAATGGTTTGCCTGCTGCAGGTTTTTGGTAGAGAGCTTCAAGGGAAACCAGTCTGTCTGGCTTTCCCATCTTCTCAAATTTAGCTACTTGAATTTAGGCTATGAATATGCATTTCCTTCAGGAAGGGGTTTTCCCAGATGAGTAAGAGGGGCAAAGGAATTTGAGTGTGTTTGTAAGGGAGAGATTATAAAATGGGTTATTGATTGCATCGACTGGAGATTTCAGTAAGATTCTACAGGTGCTGAGCCCTAAGGACAGAAAATGATGGTATAAAAATAACCTGCTTGAGTCCGAGATTTGAGAGGTCACACTGCTATTGATGACAGCAGAGTCTACAGTCTGAACCAAGGAGGAGATGACCAAGGTGGGCTAGAGGAAAAGGTCACCAAATGTGAGTTGGTCAAGGAATCAGGAAGCTAGAGCACAGACTTCCTAGTTTTCATGAGAGCACAGGACTGTAAAAATGACCACAGAAGCTGAGACCATGCAAAGTGATCTTAATAATTTGTAAAACTCCTTTACTCCCAATTATAAATGTACAGAGAATTTTTTTAAATTGTAAAACTAATGTTTAGTACACCATAAATCCAAAAAACACTGAGAATTAGTGCTTTATTTCTGTGTAAAATCTTTACCAAGAGTAGTTTGAACAGTGCTTGCCTTCTACTATCACTTACCTCTTTTGTGCCTTGATAAATTGTCATATTCCTTCCAGCACTTGATGTTTTGCGTTTTCAGTGTTGTAAAATACCTCCAAGTGTCCTTAACGTGAAGTTGTTATCAGTGTCTCTTCATCCTTTGTCACAACCACCTGCTCTAACTGATCTGTGCAATCTGGGTGCAGGTTTCCCAGCAGCGCCTGGTCTGGCCCAGCAGCTTAACCAGAGCTCAACACTAACCAACCCCATGGGTCTCTGAAAGGATGCAACCAGACTTCACTGCAGTAAAAGCTTGCTTTTCAGTCTCTCTGTAATTAAGTTTTCTTTCGACCTGATAACTAACGTGGACATTTGGCCTGAATGCTAGCCACACCCACTGGGATTTGTCATTATTATGACTGTCTTCTACCAAGTCTGGTTGACCACAAGCAGTTTTCTGTCTCTAGAGCAGTTTAAAAGATGTTGATCCAACGTTACCATGCTCTTTCTCCTTGTTGGATGGTACCTTCATGCAGGCTGAGGTCTCATCGTCTCAGCTTCATTCTTGTCATTTTTAAATTTCCTAATCACATCCAATTTCATTTGCAGCTCATTTATTTCTTTGATGCACTTTCAACTTTTTTGTCAAACTTTGTAAAACAAAATTCTAATGTAAAACGGAATTTTCTTTTTATGGTCCATTTTTGTGAAACATCCTGTGGGTCTGTCTCTGGGAGACAAGGAGGCAACACAGCTGCACACTTTGCTGTCTGTGTTGTGGCCGAAGCACTGAATAACTGGGGTGCAGCGGCCGATCCCCAACGGGCCTTGAGAGGAGGACCAGGATGTGTGGGGGTCATCGGTGTGGTGATCTGTGGGCTGCGCACTGGCTGTGCGGTCTGTCCTTGATGTACTTGCTGTCAGTGTTGCAGAGTAGGTGAAATTTGAGTCATGCTGTTGGGGGACTGGTGTTTACTAGACCGTGGCAATCAAAATTTGTTCATACCAGAACCGTGCCCACGTGGGGACTGCCTTACTGGACAGTTATCTGTATGGATATCGAAGTCACAAAGAATGGTAGCAAGAGTCAATGGAGATGGGGGCTGGGGTCCCCTAGCTCGTCTTCACGTAATGAGAAGGAACAAGCCAGGGGCCGTGGGCGGTGGCGGCACAGACATGAAGAGGTGTGAGTCCACACCGCGTGCTTTGCCAGGAGTTGGGAGTGTTTAAGGCCCGAGGGGTTGCATTAGGGACTGAGAGGAAAAACAGCTTTTGCTTGAGGGGCTGTAGTGGGCCTGTGCGAACGAACCTGGTGTCCTCTTGGACAAACCCACCATGATGACCACTCTGTGACCTTCTGGAGCACAGCCCCCTCCCCAGGCTGTGCTTCTGTTTAAGCGCACCCTGTTTAGCCACACTCTCGGGGCCTGACGGGCTTGCTCTGCCCTAGAGATAGGACTATGACACACAGCGATTCTTCACCATTCTCCGCCCCCCCCCCGGCCCCCCACAGGTATGCCCACCCTCCAGGGCTGAAAAAGCAAGTCTTAGGGAAGGTGGGGTTTTAGAGATCTATGCATCACTGCCGCCTGAGACCCACTTCTGTCTCCAAGTCCCCGTAACAAACCACTTCTCCTCAGGCTGGACCTGGCCTTTTTCTTTGCTCTTACGGTTCCTTTGGAGGGTGCTTTGCATGTACCTACCT